GTTTCAACATAGATGGGTTTACTCCCTGTTCTTAATTTATTCAAATAAATATTGGCTAAGAGATCAAGCTAATTATATCACCTTAGGACAAGCCAAACACTTTTTTCCTGAAGACAAGACCTGATTTTGTTTGGGCTGCCGTACAAATGCATTGTGATTATAGTATCTTCTGTGTAATTAGGTCAACTGTATTCCATTTCAGAATTTCTTCTAGACTGTTTTACTGGTGCAGTTGATTACAATCGGGGAGTAAGTCCTATTGAATGTGATAAGGCTTACTTCTGAGGGAACATGCAATGGATTTGTGCTGTTATTTCCAAAGACTTCAGTTTGTTTAAAACATTTCTAGGGCACCTCAATTCAAACATTTCCATTGTGATTTAATCACTCAAAACAAAAATCAACATCATAATCTTCAGTAAATCATTTAGAAGCAGTAAAGGGCATTGCTAAAAATCATCACATCAAACATGAACAAATCAAATTTTTAAACCCTGGAGAAGTTAAAGGGGGCTTAACTACACAATTCTGTAAATCTCTACTTGGAACTAAACCTCCACAGTTCAACGTAGGTTTAGTTCTTATTCCCCAGATAAGCATGTACTGGATTGCAAAGTAAAAGACATCACCAGATTGGAAAAGTTTCATAAAGCAGGGTATACAACAACTGTAACCCCTCTTTTCCTTTGCCAACCACCTCACTTCCTGTGTTGTAGGCACCTGGAAGAAGGTCTCTGCAGAAGAATTTAGCAGCAAATTACATATGACAATAGTCAGATAGTGTCACTCCTCTATGCAAAATTGATCTTATTTGGCAAATAGCTACTGTAGGAACAGGTAAACTGTACTCTAGCATATGGTTTATCTCCCCTGTCCCCTCCCCATGGGGCTCAATCTAGATCAGCTCCTCCTGGACTTGGGTCCTCAGTATAGGGTAAGTTGTCAAAGCTCACTTACCTCCCACATAGAGATCTTTACTGGATCTATAAGTATTCTGAAGCAGATGACTACATGATATAATAGTCCCCTGTCCCCTCTAATATTTCAGGTCAGATATCGGTAATGAACTGGAGCATGAAATAAACATGAGATATTCTCTCTCTCTCTCTCTGCTGCCGACTAAATATGAGTAAAATAAGCATGCTGAATTAGATCACTTCCCACAGAATGGAAGATGTGGAAAACCAACATGATTCTTTGAGGGAGAAGCTATATAACTAACATCATGTATGGTTTGGCCCTTATAGTACAAGAAAGTTGATGTGGGAGAAATCTTTCCTTTTGTATATTGAGGTCCCAAATCATTTTTCAGTTAGAATGCAATTGTCTTCACATCACACCCACTTATCCCCACACACACCAGAAAACAGGGAACAGGGTAGTATGGTATTCCCTTCATTTGGTGATGATAGATTTTGCCACTCCTCCCATTCTGCATAGGATGCATGTAAACCCCCAAATCTGGGGACTGAGAGGAATCACAAAGCCCAGCAGGGAAGAATTCCAGTCTGTGTGCATGAAGGATACTTGAAAAATGATGTAGACACATTGTAATGCAATGCCCACACATATTTTCAAAACAGGTCTGCTAATGTCCTTGCAAGATAAGATGACAAGATGTCGAGATCCTGTCAGTACAATGTCCCTGAGCAAGAAGACATATATAACTCCCAAGCACATTTGTAGATTTATTTCAAATACTGCCACATCAATGGCAGCCTGGCTTTCTAGCTGCTCAGTTGGTGCAGCTATTTCTTGTGAGGAAAAAAAAATAAGGAATTTTTAAAAGGCAGCTTTTGGACCACTTCAGATTACTAGAACTTCTGTGAAATGTTAAGGATAACTAAGTTCAGATACACACATTTCTCTGGAAGGTGCAGATCAGATACATTCATAATGTACATTCATAATGTACAAGTTAATCAGATTCCTTGAGCATCCCTACGTGAGCACATCCTGTTTTCCAAAAAAAACAACTATGCAATCTTATGCATTTTTCTTTGGAAGTATTTTAGAGGGATTTACCATGTAATAAGTGTGTTTAGGATTGTCACTGGCAAAAAAGTGACAACACCGTGATTATGTTATACATAGACATTGTGACTGTAACCTTATTGTAATGCACAGCAATGCCCTAATGCCTGTTCATACTTTACATGGCAAATACTGTTTGCCTTTTATACAGCAGTATCTCTTAACTTTTTCAGTCTGAGGGAAGGATCTGCTGTGAGAAATATGGATGCAAACCAGGGAGTTATTGTTCAAGGTTACAGGGCAAGTTCCCACCACAAAATCAGATGTGTTTTTAACAAAGGTCAAAGAGTTGTAGAAGTGGCACTTGCTTTTTAAGCTCAAGATTGGGCTGGAAATGCCTTTATACTATGTAAAAGTGTCATACAGTGTTTTAACTCCAACCACCCTCAGGAATTTTCTCTGTGAGCACTCACAGCCCAATTCACAAATGCTTTAAGCCAGACTTATACTGATTTACAGAGAAATCCTATGCATGTCTTTTAAAAAATAAGCCCCATTAAGTTCAGTGGGACTTACTCCCAAATATGTGAATTTATGATGCCCCAGTAACTTAAATAGGCCTTAACAATAGCATAATCCAAGCACCCATCATGATTGGCTTGTAGCTTGACTGGCCTAACTTTATTGTACAAGTCTACATTTTCCCTGTGATCGAGACCAAACTACTCTGCCTCAGGAGTAGAGAACCAACGTGGTGTTGTGATTACCGTGCTGGACTGGGATTCAGGAGATCCAGGTTCAAGTCTTTGTTTGCCCTCACTGGTTGATTTGGGGCTAGTCATTAATTCACAGCCTAATCTAACTCAGAGGGTCATGTCTCAGGATTAAATTGAGAGAAGAACCATTTAAGAAGGGACTGAATTCATTGCAAGAAGGAAGGGGGGATGAGAGAGAGACATAAATGTAACAAGTTAAAGAAACAGTTTTGCCTTTACTGACAATCCTAAAGCTCCTTACTAGATGGTAAACCTTCTGCTGAACTCAATGGGACATTTTTCTGGCCACATGACCTTACATGTGGCATTTTCAATTATATTGGTCGAAAATTAAGTGTTGCCCTCAGGGTTGCCACCACATGTGGGCCTCAGCTGACACACCTCATTCCTATCAGCAATTTCAAAGGGTGTATAATCTTTGGACATTTCAGTCTAACATAAATGTTGCAGATCTAATTCTATTTAAACACACCTGCACCCACACCAGCCTGGAGTAAAAAAGAAACTAACCATGTACATAATGTCATGTTTTAAACCTTTGACTCAGGAGTTGTGTTCAACATATGCATCTGCTGACACAGACTAATTTGCAAAAGCTGACACCATAATAAATGTGTTAGGGTACAATCC